CGAGAGAATAGCAGACAAATTCGATCGAACGACAATAGGGAAATTATTTCAAGACTTCAATTAAACTCCAGACGAGCTGATTATTTAAATTATATATACGAGTCTTAATTTTTCTAAAATTACCTTCGAATTTGCAACACGTGGTATTCACGTGGAATCCCTTCGTCTTTGGATCAGAAAATGTTCGAATATTCTACTATCTAAACAAACAGATAATATTCCATCGTGAAAACGAGTAGAGACGCAGTAAGTGCGCAGAAGATGTGTACGATAAACAGTACGTTGAAGAAGAACACACAGAAAAACACGAAATTGAAAATTGATCAGACGTTTCTGCGAATAAAATTATAATAAAAAAAGAAAATAGAGATCTACACTGTAAATCAAAAAAAGGAAAATAAAATAAAAAACATCCGGATCTACTCTCTTTCAAACATAGAATAATAATCACGAGGAAAATCACGAGCCATTTTCCATTATTCGGAAAAATTCCATCCCAGCATCGAATCGTGTCTCCCCAATTAATTCAGATTTTCCATTATTCGAGAAAATATATTCGAAACATTTTGAAATTCTCTCGATAGAACACTCCTACGAATCGAAAAAAATTATATATATATAAAAAAAAAAATACGTGGTGAAAAGACGGATTCCTGGGAAAAATTTGATCGCACTTCTTCGCAGATTCGCATAAATAGAGCTATGTATTACACATATTTTCCATGGAATTGGAACGGAGGAAAAAGCAAGGCACGGCTTTATCAAAGGTACATAGTTACGTAACGTCTAAGCCTGATAAGGAGGTTGATACAGGTATTTATCGAGCCCAGATGTGAGCCGAGTAATCGTACCGATAATTGAAACTACAATTTCATTGAACGATCTGAACAAAAGGGAAGGCGTGTGCGTGTATCGTAGATCCCGAACGGATAATAATCGACTTTCTCGATCCTGCTTGGATACGTATCTCTTTCCTCGAGTAGGTATCACGGTGAACTATGAGACGTTCACGTGGTTCGAAAATGCGATCCGACATTTCTCGAATATTTGTTTCTATGAAATATGTTGGGAAATATTCGAGCAGCCTTGGGAACCTGAGTGTCGCTAGGTGGAAAGATAACTGAGCAAATTGCGGAACAAATTATAGATAAAATTTTATATCTGCGAGTTTTAGACGTTATAGACGTTAGTTTTAGTAATATATATGTATATACTTTTAAAAAAAAAGTGTGATCCTTGAACGACACGAGATATGAAATTTTCTAATTTTCCTTGTTAAAATTTATAGAATTTATTATTAAGGATTAAAAATGCTTTAGAAATTCTCTAAAATTAGATTCGATACAAATAATTCGATAAATTCCCTCTTGGAGACTCCAAGAATATTTGATACAAGGCTCGTTCAATCTCATTTTTATCGTGTTTAAAATCGAAAGTGTACAGTTGCTCGAGGATAATATAATAAAGAACGAGAACTCGATATTAATATAAATCTCTTAAAAACCAAAGCTGTATACACGCAAAATACGCAAGAAAAAGGATGATTCATTACAAATCAAGGAGACTAAACAATCGAGAGATGCCAGAATTACCAAATATCTCATTTTTCTTCCCGCACTTTCCCTCAATTAGAAACTGGTATGAAATGAAGTAGCGGCTCAACACATCCATCCATCTACTGGCAATCACGGCTCACCATCGATTTATCGCTGCCTTCGACCACAATATACTTTATTATCGAATACCCTTCCTGCTTCCTACCTCGTAAGCAACACACACGTATCACCACCGATCGCCTCCTCACCCTCGATACAGACGACAGGGGCAATTGAATATCCCCGTGGTGGACGGAACAACCTTGATCAAGATTCTCGCGGCCGTAGAAGAAGAAGTTGGTGGCACGTTCACGAAGTTCAATCGTGGGAACGGAAAGCGACCCAGCTTGTTAAGCGGACCGGAGAAAACCGCGTTGGCCGATGTGTGCCAACCATAAAAGAGCAATAATCAGCGAGCCACGCCGGTTCAGGTCGAACTCGGCCAGTGGCCATTGCTGGAAAAGTGAA